TACTGTATAGAAAAAAGATCTAGACCAGATTGCCGAGCCCACTTTGCCGTAGACGATCCAGTTCGTCGCCGGCCAAGTGCAACATTGAGAATGTAGAAGTCACTCCAACGCGATGCGATTATTGTGTATTACATAAATAGCGGCTTATTGTAGTTTAATGATTCTTTTTGTCTTATTCTGGTCAGTTTTTAGGGCTTAGTAGCGGTGCAAATTGTACAGATTGGCTATCAAAATAACGTTACTTGCATAGGCAAATTATTATTTTTGGTCCCGAACGATCTCGTTGCGGCGTTGGGCGATGGGAAGGTCAGTGGCGTAGAAAAGTATTTTTAATTGGGGGGGGATAATGTGTGCGCTTGTGCGGACAGGGGATGTGTCCCCCTCTGAATCTGGAACATTGTTTTTGCAAAATAAATTGGTGCAATTTGATGACTACTTTTAGTGAAATTTTGATCAAAATGAAAATAAAATTTACCATTAACAATATGGCATATCTGTATCTGTGAGATGTTCAAAGCGCTTCCTTGTTGAATGCCATGAGAGAGGTCATTGATGTGAAGCAAAAAGAGAAGTGGAAGAATAAGTAAATATTTTATAGTATTTTATTGACTTTCTTCATTTTTACACTTTTATAATAAATACATTCGCTCATGAACGATAAACCTCTTAGTGCCTATTTTGTTTTGTTGTTATTACCACTGGTATTAACATGGTTTTGTAAAGTATTAAACATAATAAAAATAATGAGTATTTATATGCGCTATTCACATAACTGCTTAAAAAAAATGGCCAAACTTTTTTACGAAAAAGTTCCTCCTTGCTATTTTAATCAATAAATTCCTCATCAACCAATATAACCTTAAAAATTCTTGGAATTGACATAAAATTACTGATGTCGTACACACCCTTCAGTGTGAAAATGTGGCATCTAACATCTAAGGAAAGAAGAGCTAAGTTTAGATTTGTACCGGTACCGGATAAAATAATTAATACATTATGCTAATTTTCAACTTTGTAAGCGCATAGACATTGCAAATGATTTCTGTGAGTCTTTTGAAATGTTTAAAGCTCCATTTTATCCCATACAGTCAAAAAATTGAAGGGGGGGGATGATACAATGGACCATCCCTTGTCAAATATTGGGGATATATCCCCCATCCCCCCAGGATCTACGCCTATGGGAAGGGTTGGCAATTCAATGCTTAATCTCAATTTATTTCTAATTTTAACCGATAGCCATGCCTTCAGGTCCCCCGCAGCATTGTTGTTTTCCAGTATTTTACTTTTTAATTTTCCTTATTAATTCGAATAAACGCCCGGGGCTTTTATTGTTGAGAAAGGTTCTGAGGAGGGTTGGGGGTGGCGTTTATTAGCCTCCCCAAAGGAGCAAAGTTCTGGGGAGGCTATTGTTTTTGCCTATGTTCTTCTTCATGTTGTCTCGTTGTCTCTGTGGTTGTTGGCCACTTGTTTGTTACCACGATAACTAAATTTAACAGAATGTAAGATGGTAATAAGAAGACGGAGCCTACTGTTTTTGGAACGTGTGTGAATATGCTAATTGTATAATTAATATTCCACTAATAAGGTAATCTAGGCTCGTTAACAAAACTGAAGTTTGGCAAGTCCAAGCCTATTGTTTTTGGTATGTGTGTGGATATGTTAATTGCTCATTTGCATAATTAATATTCAATAATCAGGTACAGTAAATAAGGCTAGTTACCATGACAACTAAAGTTTCATAAGTCTGATTTAAAACTTATATTGTCAGAGAGTTGTAGTAGAGTGCTGGGTAGTAGTAAAATGAAAGGAAAATCTCTGTGTATTATATACAGCAATGTGCACTGCGTTACATTTTTTATGGACATTTGTAGTAAACAGACAAGACAACAAACATAAACAACAAAATATTCCTAAATTCTATAATTATGTTCTAAAATCAACTGCTCTAGAAACAAAATTAGTTTTAACAACGATTAGGCAATATAGATGCTGGAGATGATATAGAGAATTTTAAAACTATTGTCTGAGAAACTGATTGTATGAGATTTAATGTTAAGATCAAAGTTATTTAATCAAAGAAATGGAATTATGCAATTAACTGTAGCAGAAGGCATTACCCTCAGTTTCTTATATACTTGTTAGTCCAAAACAAGACAATATTCACAGCGGAAGATTCGAACCCTACACATCAGTATTTAGCCAAGCGCTCCTCATATGTTTCAGTCACAGCTCCATGATTCTTCCCTTTGTTTGGACCTTGAGTCTGTGGAACCTGTCCTTTGCTTCCTTTTTTTTTATCTGTTTGTGAGTTGCAATAAATTGAATAAAGAAAAAAATTATCATGCAATCCGACTCTGAAGATTGAATACCACCCTGATAGATTTATGGCTCATTATCAATGTAACTGGCTAAATGTAAAGCTAATGTTGAACTGAAGACAGTCTTGTATAAAAGTTAATGGCATGCATTGTATGATATCTTGGGGACAAAAATTAGAATATTATAATATTATTTTACGATATTCTAATTATTCCTCTTTTAAATTATAAATATTGGAATCACAATAGAATGAATACAATGTGTAAAATAATTTAATACCATCTGTGGTAAAATTCGGAAAACAAAACACTGAATTGCTCATTCAAAAGCATCAAATAAGTTATTGATTTTCAACAGCACATTGATTTACATATACAGTACTACTTTATCCCACCAAAGTTTATCACCAGTATCATATTTGGGTGTAATACCATATTTAGGTGTAATATGACATCATCATGCCCTTATATGGGCATATCACATATATTTGTCAAATAAAATGTAGTGTGGAAAGAACTTCGGTTCTAAAAAAAAAAAAATATCAGTACTGGGAAAGGAAATTATATGTTCATTTTAAATTTCTTAAGTATAAATAAGCAATTCAAATATTGAATTATATTTTCAAGTTTATTAACACTGAAAGTAGTTGACTCGATATAAGGTAGGGCCTACACATACAGCACAATTCTGGGGACTTTAATAGCAAACACAAGATTGGGTAGGGCCTAAGCATACACACTTTACATTTCCAGTGGTATCATAACGAAAAAGGTGATTATAAGGTTTTCATTCACTTTTTTCTAGAGGAGCTACTTTCATACACACTTTAAAAATGATTCTAACCAAAGTAATAATTATACTAACAATATTAGTTAGTACCATACACATACCATAGCATTCATAGAATTAAATTTTTTTTTAATTTGAATCAGCATCAGGTATTAATGCCTCAGTATCTTTGCTCAATTAGTATGCAAAATATCAAAATTAAATCACTTTAGGCTTACAGTGATAAAGTTGCTTAACTTTTCAAATGCAATCAAATATTCTGAAATTTAAAACATAATTGTTTATCTTGATAGAATACATGAACATTTCATACATACAGTATATTCTGAAGATAAAATAAATATATACAGCAAGGCAACCATCTATTTGAAGCACATGCATTTAGCACAAGCACCATGACGGAGCAACTGGAAGTTCAGTTACCATCTTTATCTGACAGCAAACGCACATAAATTTAATTACTTTCAACGGTTCAATTAAACAATACTTAGTTGGGTATGCCTACTGTAGTCATAGATTTAGATATCAGTTATATTAGTATTACTGTAGTTATATTTGTAAAAGCAAATGCGATTATTCAGCCAATGCTATGAAGGAAACCAGTCATATAGATTGGATTTCCAACTATGACCACCGTCTGGTGGCAATGAATGCGACTAGTACTTTCAAGTGTTCAAAACATCCAAAACTTACAGGCTATTGTTTACTTTTGGATTCATAAATTAAATTTCATGAATCTAAATCTTTAAACCACAAAATTAATCTGTTCTAAATGCAATTTCGTCCCCAATGATAATAATAGTAGTTGTACATGTATAGAGCATTTGGACAGTGGCAAAAGAGAAAGTATCTGGGATGGAGGAAATAGAACAAGGCACAACAAATTGCTGCTGATAGAACAAACCAACTTGAGAACTGTCACTGCAGCCTTATGGGCCACAAGGCCAAAGAGGATAGAAAGTTAAGGTATAGCGTACCATACTAAAAAGCCGCTATGCACTTGGTGATTGAGCTCTTTGAGTTTGATATTTTGATAGTGGAAATAGAAAAAAAAATGTAGCCCTATGAAACTACAACTACTCCTTAAACTAAAGCACAGTTGGCCATTGGCTGTGAGGAGTTTATCCTGCTCTCAACACCAGATACACTAATAGGGGTATCTTTGTTTTATTTTTTTCTTTTAAATTGTTTTTTTTTTGTCCGAAATACTACTAAGTGTTCTTGCACTAAAGAAGGATAGTCTTATCCTGCATTGTATACATAAAGGTTGTTAATGAAGTGTACTTTACTATCAATTTTAGGTTCTCATAATCATGGTGTTGTCTTTCTTGTGGGGAAGGTCATTAGGATGATCTACTAGCAGACAGTCACCTTCTATCAGCGCTGTCTACTTTCTTCTTCTAGTGGGCCATTGTGGTATTTCCTTGATCAATGACTACAACCACCTCTTTATCATGCACAAAATTATACTTTTCTGTTATTTAATTCTTTCTTTTACTGTTTAAAATACATATTTTGTACCATGTTGTGTGAATAACATTAGTATCAAATTTTACTTGTACAATTGAACATGGAATTTACCATGGGAGAAATTATGAATATACAGACAACATGGTACAAAATATGTATTTTAAACAGTAAAAGAAAGAATTAAATAACAGAAAAGTACAATTTTGTGCATGATAAAGCGGTGGTTGTAGTCATTGATCAAGGAAATACCACAATGGCCCACTAGAAGAAGAAAGTAGACAGCGCTGATAGAAGGTGACTGTCTGCTAGTAGATCATCCTAATGACCTTCCCCACAAGAAAGACAACACCATGATTATGAGAACCTAAAATTGATAGTAAAGTACACTTCATTAACAACCTTTATGTATACAATGCAGGATAAGACTATCCTTCTTTAGTGCAAGAACACTTAGTAGTATTTCGGACAAAAAAAAAACAATTTAAAAGAAAAAAATAAAACAAAGATACCCCTATTAGTGTATCTGGTGTTGAGAGCAGGATAAACTCCTCACAGCCAATGGCCAACTGTGCTTTAGTTTAAGGAGTAGTTGTAGTTTCATAGGGCTACATTTTTTTTTCTATTTCCACTATCAAAATATCAAACTCAAAGAGCTCAATCACCAAGTGCATAGCGGCTTTTTAGTATGGTACGCTATACCTTAACTTTCTATCCTCTTCGGCCTTGTGGCCCATAAGGCTGCAGTGACAGTTCTCAAGCTGTCTCTTATTCACATCTAGATGTGTATAAGAGACAGGTTATGCAGAGATCGCCAACACAATTATATCAAAATAACTGTTGTTTATTCATTCTTATGTTTGGAATGGTTTCTGCAAAAATAACTAACAAACTAATAGTAAGTTGCAAATATCATTCTCAAAATCTTAAAAGGATTTCATGTGGTTCTTAAACAAACAAATGTTAATGAGTTTATTATTCTTTTTTTGTAGGTGGCACATATGACTAAAAGTGGTATGGATTTTGCTGATACCACTTTTTTGGGTCCATTGATGCTATTCTTAAACCAATACTTGGGATTACCAATTTCTAATGAAAGTCTGGTTCTCTGGGCAGCTATGGTAAGCATTCCAATTAAAAATCATATTGATCGTATTGACATCTAGATTGAGCCCCATCTCTGAGCACATCATCTACACCTGTCTCTTATACACATCTAGATGTGTATAAGAGACAGACAATAGACAACCTTATTTTTATCCAATAAATTTATTGCTGCGAAGCAGCCAATTCATATTCTTGACAGCAATTTGACCTCTGAAAGGTCATTGTTTGTCAAAAAACAAGGGCCTAAGACGACTGAAAAGCGGAGTTTCCTTCTTTCGT